ATTAGGTAAAAGGCTTAATATCAGGGAAAAGATTGTCTCAAAACAATCAATTTCATTATAAATCATCATTTCGTAAATTGTGTAATAAAGATTAGATGAATGATATCTATATAATACGGCTCGAAATTTACTTTGATTTTCACCGGCTCCGACGATAATGCGATATTTCAGCGACGTAATGTTGCAGGAGCTGGCAAACTTGTGTTTTTGATAAATTATGTTTATGATCAAAACTTTATTCTTACTTATGGTCAAAATTGCATGTATCATTTCACAGAACTGTTCTCCCAAGGTTTATATCATCATTAGCAGAGGTGAGTTGTCATTTTGCAAAGTCTTAAACCAAGCATGTTGCTATAGCTTTAAATCACTTTTTCTCTTCGTATTGGCTACCCTTAGAAGGTTTGACTTTACGCCCAAGTGAAATCATATCAAATCACACTGTCAACTCAGGGAATGTTCCGATAGAATGTCACAAACTCTGCCACAAGGAACCGAAATGTGTTGGATACAACTACAGAGAAAAGATTAATGTTGTGAAGTGTCCACTGACCAACAGCACTGGAAAGAAAGATCAAACCATATGCTGACGGGAGAAGGAGAATGGACACTAATAAACCATGAGAAAGCGGTAATACTATGTAATTCAAATTTTCAGAACCCCAAAATTGCTGCTGAAGAAATTGGTATCAACTATCAAACGGTACTTTATGTGAATTTAAAGTCGGAATCTATGGACACCATCAGAGCAATAAAAATGCATTATCGTTAAGTAATCTACATGCAAAAATATTATGATAGGATAAAATTAATTTGCTTTTGGAAAGTAAATAACATTGAAAAATCTAGCTGCGTTGCCAAATCGCGGGGGCCTTAAACCTTCAATGCAGCTAAAACACAACCCAGGCACAAAAATTTGTTTCCATGAGTTTATTTCATGAATACTCCTTTAACCTACTTCACGCATATGCAAGAATTCTCTTTAACATATATGCTAAATCTACTCCAATATGCTAAAATCACTCTTATTGGGCGATTGCATGTGTACACAATTATAATAGATCCTGATGGGCTTGGGTCGTTTCAAGTCAGATGTGATCTGAGCACAGACAGGGTGCATGGCTTGACTGTGTATCAAAGAAGACAAGGTGGAAGTAAAAATTTCTAAAATTGGCAATTTGAGCGGATAGTTCTGGTCGGGCCTTGATAAGATACATCGTTTAACAAAATCTGGTCAACAACATGTTCTAAGAGTTGATTTGATGGATTTTGGTGGCGCAGAAAGTTACGCGAAATATGGGACGTTTAGTGTGGCTCCATGATGAGTCAAAAAAATAAAGATTGAATATTGGCAGATATTCAGGTAAAAAAGTCTTACTATACGCCGGAGTTCAAGTGATTCGTTTGTAAGCAGTGGCCACATATGCATAGAGATTACTTTTTGCGCTAATATAGAGAGATTTTTCAGTTTTAAAGCTTTTAGACGATCTGCCTTTACACGAAAAACGCGTCATAACCGGCAAAAACGTAGTGACGGCAAAATATTTCGGGTGTACTAAGTCCCCCCGTGCCCGGCCTTTGCATTAGAAGCCTGAAAACTGGAATAGAAAAGATGGAACGGACTAATTTACTTTCGTTTATTTTCCGGTTAGGTGACGCGTGTGATTCCCTTGCTTATCACAATCAAATGCAGTTCTCTACCAAGGATAGTGGCAAGAATAGTGTTATTAGCGCCGCGTATACGCAAAATAAAAAAGCTTGGTGGTACAAATACTGTTTTAATTCAAACCTCAATTTTTTGTACCTGGATAGTAGCACCGGAATGTGCTGGTACGATTTGAAAAAATATTTATTTCATTCAATCAAAAAGACGGAGGTGAAAATTCGTCCAAAACTATTTCAAGTTATTTTATCATTTTATATTGAGAAATATATTAAGATATACTTACTATACTTTGAGAAACGAACATTCGTTTTTTGCTCTTGTTATCAGATATATGATAATAAAGATAAAATGCCATAAAAAGTATAGTTCTTGGTCTCGTGTTTATCCCACCTCCGCCCAGGATATCATTGCAGGACACAATAGAAACAAGTTGCTTTCTACAAACGTTAAAAAAATTCTTTCGCAGGACAAGACTCCACCTCACCAAGAGAGCCTACCTGTCGTAAATTTAGTTTTACAGTACTATGGAGCTTACAGCAAAGGTCTTTTCATTGTCATAAGAAAATTGTTTGCGGTTTTACCTTTACCTTTACCATGCAATTTTTTAAAATATTGCAAAGAAAATATGTAAATTTCCGATGGTTTAAAAACCTTCTTAACGCGCTTCGATTCGGCAAATTATTTTTCCCGAAAAGAAAATATTACCATGCGCATAAGATGAAGATAGTACCACAGCTCAAATGAACGGCTATTGGTCTTTGACTCTTTGGGTAATTAGGTTTCACCCACTCGTCGTTGCCCAGTGTACTCTATTCATACCAAACCTAGCATGGGTCGTATGTCTGGGGTTGGGTAACCACCACCGAACTATATAAAAATGAATTACTAATATAAAGCAAGCTATATATAAAGGAATTACTATATAGCTCAGCGGTAGCCACCCACCGCAACCATGGCAACTACGAAGATTCAAACATGACGGCATTTTTTTTTGCATTAGATATCTTGCTATTATCTTTATTTTAGGGGCATTTGGCTCCTAATTTTGAAGGATATATGAACCCAAAATACGCCTTAACAAACGATTGGCTATCAGCGTTCATAGTGCAAGACAAAAAAGCTCTTAAAACTTAAAGAAAATGTCGTATCTTTATATAGTTCAGTTTTGCCCAAGTGTTAACCAGTGTTACCACGTACTGCAACTCATATACAATTTCGAATATTCAGTGTTAATATTAAAGCATTTTCTTTTAAACTATGTTCTGTTTAATGTAGGATACGATATTTTGCTCCCGAAATTTCTTATTCTAAATCATATCTTATATAGTTTATTGCCACGGCACGGCAAAAATGGGTAACCGTGCCCATTTCATTCGTGCTCGGCATTTGTTTTGGTAGACTGAACACTAATAACCAACGCGTTGGGTTAGAAAGGCGCCTTTGCTCTCTCGTAGGTTTCTCTTACGTCGACAAGCAAACGTGACGTGTTAGCACGAGACAATTTTCGTGCGCTTCTTCCCTCTTGAAGCCCGTTTTCCACCTTTTCACCGTACAGAATAAAAACAAGTACAACAAAGAAACTTGCCACAATACCTTCCAAAACCATATCACTTCGCTAGCAAAACACTTCGAGTGATTTCTCTTACGTCTAGTCCCTCAAACGTCCGGCCGCCACAAGTTTCAAATTTTACAGTAAAAAATAAACCGATTCGCACATTTTAGATAGTTGCATTTTGTTTTTCAAAGACCGTTAGAAAACTAATATAGACAATCATAATTTCGGACAACTTTGCGAGGGATCTGGTGGTGGACCGCAATGTGGAGGACGCAAAGACGTACAAACATGTGTTCAAAGACGTTTTGTCGCGGTTATGATTAGTGGCCTGGGGAGAAAATTAAGCGTGTCTCAGCAATGGTGTTTCAGCATATTTAAATGAAACTAAAGCAGATTACGAGTAGAAATATTAACACCAAGTAACGTTTCGCCACAGAATTTCAATGTTTCATTCGTTCTCCTTCCTTTTCAACAGCTACCGCTTGAATATCATGCTCACGATGACTTCCTGTATTTGGATTACCATGCATTTATGTACACATCATAATAATCAAAAGACAATACGCCACAAAATGAGTATACGCAACAGTGTCACACGACTATTGATGCGTGTGTTATGTTTTATAGCATTATATTTCACCTCAAAGGTGAAAATAAACTCAAAGCTGAGAATGAACTCTCTAAAATTTAGATACATCGCCAGTACCACCACTAAAATTGTCAAACATCCACATAAATTCTACAATGCCCATGGGATTTTTCGAATTCTATCCGGAGAATTCTATCAACGAGAATATTTAATTAGACGGCTGGAATACATATTTGAAAGTATGAATTTTTGAATCTATATTGATAAATCAATGGTGATGCATGCATAGAAATTTTTATAACAAATTTTGTGTCTGTTTGGGAAAACGATCAGTGTGGAACGTTTTCGTGTTGTGATTCGGCACATTTTCTCCATATAAATTATTATAATGCAAGACTTGTGGTTTAGATACGTGTGCGCGTTTTACACATTACTCATTATCATGCAATATTTCCAACATTCAACAATTCAGTAATTCGTTTAACATGCACAAACACGTCTATAATGCATGTACATGCAACATATCTTGTATATAGCGAATTTCTCCAATTTCTTTACATACATAAACATTCAAACTTCCATTTTTTGACTGTAGATGTATCTATGTTTTTGCGTTGGAAGTCGAAGTGTACCGGGTCTAAATCATAAAAATAAGTCGAAAAATATGACGCCCTCTCCTTGCAATGTCCTTATTTAAACCCATACGATTTTGTACGCACAAAACTGCATAATGTAATCTGCACGAATGGCCATGATCGTGCCTAATTTAGGAGTATTATATAAACCTGCATGATATTATCAATTCCTTGGAATGAAAGAAACTATATTAAGTGATTGAGTGCGATAAGAATTAGAAGTAGCTACCAAGGTACATTCCGATTATAGATATTTTCCTTCGCCGAATGATGCATGACTAGCTTTTCAAAAATGTCTGTTGATACAAGATAAAGACTAGCGGATACTAGCCTCTTGCTGAGTATAAAGACCTGACTAGCATTAGCTATTGAAAAGAGTGCTTTGTTTCTATGACGATTGTGTTTTTCTAACAATACGGCGCAGATTGAATCTTAAGGAGTAACATGGCATAATGTGAAAAGAAGTGTACAGTACTGTCCAGAAATAACCTAACATTGCGCTATGTACAATTATGATACAATAAATGCAATTACACACTGGAATTTTTTGTCTAAGCCTTGATATAATTATTCAAAGTAAACTTGACAGGTTACATTTTATAACTGCTTAGTTGTAGACCACTCCAGTTTTATTTTCCAGGTGGGAAGGGTCTTGGGCTGGAAAGAAAAAGGTTTGCGTTACAATAGTGTGGAAACGAACTAATAAAGTAAATCTTGAAAGCTTTTAATTGTTCTCTATAAATTTAAGAATTAGTGCGGGGGCGCGAAATCAAAGGATCAAGACATTTGCCCTGATCACCGACACGACTAATTTATTCTTTCTGATATCGTTCTCCATGTTAGGATAAGATTTTCAGCTTGTTTAACTTTTCTCTAGAAAAGGACATCATTTACGCAGTGAAAAACTTATTAAGCAATACGACATAAAAATACTTACCAACAGCAATGATATGGCATTGGACAAAAACCGTTACAGTCAAATGACCCAGGAGGACACCTCATACGTGAAGGTACGCAATTACCGTTAAGCCCACAGGGAATTTCTGTATGATTGAAAAATACAGAAAGCATATTTGAGAGATTTTTACGTAGCTATATAACTATTTGAGGTTCTGAAATATTTCAAGTTCTCTTTCCGTTATATTTCAAGTTCTCAACAAAATTTTTATAATGCAATTTAACCTTTATTAATTATCACTTTCATCAAAAAAATTTCAATAATTTTTCGAAACACATAATTCCTACGAAGACCGACTAAATAGCGTCACATTCTAATACCGTGAAATTACCTTCTGCAGAATCACCTGACGTTGATTTACGGCCATTAACCGCAGAAAATGCCACGAAAATAATCAGCAACAGGCAAACATTCATACGGAAATCCATTTGTTGAGAGAATATAAGTACCTAGAAATTAATAACACATAGATGAAAAGAATCAATGAATGGAAACTCGTGCAGGATTGGAAACATTTATGCGATTAAGGCGGGTTGTCTTAATATGTAGGATATAGAACTGGGGTTTACGTTGAATGCAGAAATTGTTGTAGTTCTTTAAAATAATTTCTAATTGAAATAGTGGAATAGTTACATTGAATAGCTAAAGTCCTTAAAACTTTAACTTTCAAATAAAAAGCTATTGGTCAGACAAGCATTTCGCATCGGTTTTCTAGTATAACCATACTGCATGTTCAAATAAAAAATAGTGTGATTGTTACTTTTAACGGGAAAATTTAATTTTTAGACGACTATATCAGATCACCAAGTAACTAAGAAACGGGAAACTATTCGAATAAATATCCTAACTATTTCAACACAAGATGAAGCTTACCTCAGTTTGTAGTCCGAAACGTAAAGATTTTAAAACTTCCGAGAGAAATTTCAGTTCGTCAATGACTGGGGTTGTGTAGTTGACTCGTATATATATGCTATTCGTTGGACTAAAAATGTCAAAAATAATGCAGTTTGACACTTTTGAAAAGGATATATCTGTTTTCAGACGAATATTCAAATTACTCTGTCGGATACCAGTGTCTCGACTGTTGATTAAAAATATCGATCAGTAACGTTCTTTCCGATGGCCGCCATATTAACGAACCCGCCTGAGTAATATCAGCCGGCATCCTTCGAGTCTGCCAAAATAAAAACATACCTATAGATTTAAAAGTATTTAGTATAAACCTAGTAATAGATAGGTAGTATTTTCTTTATTTTCTTTTGTAAGAGTTTGCGGGTATTCAAAACCATGGATTGCCAGCTGAAAGTTGAAACTTGTCACTTTTAACAATGTGGCATATTGTAATCGCGTGAGCTGGCCCCGTCCTTTCCGGGGAATAAGTTATTAATAATTTATTTTTGTTCTGTGTTTCCAAGTTCTCATTAAATACTATAGTTTATACTGAAACAAATAGGCCAACACAGCCTCGTGGTCTAATTGGTATTATTGGAGTGAGAAGGAAAAAATACATTTAAGTGATGATCAGAATACTTTTATATTTACCATTGTACTTACATCATGTCTCTATATTAGTTGTCATCTAGAAGATGATTCCTTGCCTCACGAAAAAGATCTTTCCGGAGCGGTATAGGTTTGTAATTTGCAAAATTTACACTAGGTTAATAAAGTTTATAAGTTGCATTTTGGTCGCGGAGAATGCAAGTCATGCAAACAAATTATAATTAAGTGATCAACGCGTCATTAAGCTTTATTATCATTTCATTATCTGAATTGCATTCGAACTAGAATGCATAAACTAGACTTTGGTACTTAAGAATTTTTTCAAGTATATCGAGTTATCATCTACTTGCACTAACGCTCTATATAATTATATAAACAAATGTAAATATATTCTTGAACGTTTGCATGCTAACATCAAATAAGTAAATTAGCTTGTTCTATAGGTACAAATATTTAACATCACTCAAGTATTTAATAATGTAAAACTCTCCGCCCTTTAAAGCTGGCCTTCATGGACTGCACTCATGAAGGCCCTATTTACGGACTGTACGCTTTGAAGTATTAAATACTATCATGGTGTTTATGCATGAGCATGCTCACACATAATTTCTTCGTGAATATAAGCTAGGCTATAAAAAATAAGCATGCATCTGGAAATTTCTTTGGACATGTTCACTGAGCGAGAATATGTAAACGGCTGGAAAACATACCCGAAAGTAGAAATTTTTAGGACGAATTTCGTGTCTGTTTGAGAATGCGATCCGTGTGGAACGTTTTTGTGTTGTGATTTGGCACATTTTTTCCATATAATGCAAGACCTGTGGTATAGATAAGTGTGCGCGTTTTATACATTAGCATGCATTATTTCGGCATTCAATATAAACATTGCTGCATGGTATACATACATGCATATTGCATGTATTGCGGTTTTCTTCAATTTTTCATACATATACATTCAAACTTCGTTAGTTATAAACCCATGCATAAGATTTTGTAGGCACAAAACTGCATGATGTAATCTGTGCGCATACATGCCCATAGTCAGTGGTGTCATATAAACCGGTACATGCATGCATGCAGTATTATCAATTTCTTGGGATAAATGAAACTATACATTTGTGATTGAATGCGATACGATTTAGAAGCACTAATGTACATTACGATTATAGAAACTTTCCTTCTCCAAACTATGTACGACTAGCTTTTCAAATATTCCTATTCGTGGCAAATATAAACGCTTTTTGTTCGAATGGAAGTGCCTATATGCTTGCCTCTTCCGGAGTTTAATGAACTGAGTAAGATTTCGAAAAGAGTTCTTTGTTTGTTTATGCATGACGATTGTGTTGGTCTTAGAGTAGCAAATGAGTTGTATAGGGGTATAACCGGGCATGCAGTATGTGAATAAAAATGCACAAAATAAAGCGTTCGCCAGTGCATGTATACAACAACATTTCCGATCATGAAAAACCGTTTCATCGTGTTTTTTTTCTCGTCGAATACACAAAATAATATTTTCAGAAAACTGCCACAATTTTCGGGTTTGCTAAAATAATTACCTATTGTACACCAATTCATTATACATATCCTATACCTATATGATTTATACTAGTGATGCCGTTCTTTAATTTTCTCATACTGTCATGAAGTGTTAACGTAAAATCTATATTTCTTATTAATTTACTAAACGTTTCACTGATCAAATCTCTCTAAGGAAAAAACTATAGAAAGCGAGAATGCTCTTGGTAATGTATCGGCGACTGAAAGGCAATACAGCATGATAATGGGAATATAATTATGCAATATATTGCATGCAATAATATCAAACTGATTTTTGAATTTAATAATTCCCCATAACAAATGGTAATCAGGACTGGTAATCTCTATTTCCCATCATGTGGTATATGTAGCCATATATCAGAGGAAAAGGACTTACATAAGATATTTAATCCCAAGAAAGGAAAGATGTGTCATGGCTCGAAAAAAAGCTAGGACAAAAGGCGAATATAGCCGGAGAAAATACTTGAGAAAGCTCAAGTCCGTATTCTATGAAATACAGAAGTACACAGAATTCATTCTTTTTACCTTAACGCCCAGACAGTTAGTGCTAGCGCTGATTCCATCTCCAAACGTTGAATTGACTATACATGTTTCAATACCAGTACAGTGCATATTCGGGGGTGTACAGATGCACAGGTCTTTGCCGGTATATGTATATGACACGTCATAAACATTTCCGACAGCGGCTTTTCAATGTATACGAATTGAGCAGCATGCAGAAAGATTAATATTCGTAGAAAACATATGTTTCGTAGAAATGTTAATTCTTCATCAAAAGGCATCGGTAATTAATAGCTGCGGCGCTATATACTATATCGCTAAGGGTGAGAAAAGGCATAAAAATAACGAACAAACATGATCAACCATAACTTTTGTTTTACCCAAAACGTGGTTATGAAATAACGGTCTAATTATATACTGTAGTATTTCTTCTTATATATTTGCTGATTTTCAAAACCATGGCCGGATTGTTTTGGAAGTTAAAACTTGATACTTTGAAAAATGTCGCTTGTTGTAATCGCATGACCTGGCGCGGCCTTTCCGGAATATAAGTAATTATGAATATTAATATTTATATATATTTCTGTTTATTTTGTTCTGTGCTCCCTATTCTCAATAAATGCTATAGTTTATACTAAAACAATTAGGGCAACTCGACCTGGTTGTCCAATTGTTAAATGCATGGTTGTTAGCATGGTATGCTGTTATATTATTCCTCGGAGCAAGCAAAAAAAATGATCAAGATGCATTTATATTTATCATCGCATTCGTTGGGGTATTGTATGTATCAAATATCTTATGTAATTACTATGTATTTGCATTGTACCTCTAAGACGTGTTTGTGTTAAAGGACCGATTGAATTAACAATGCAACGGTTATTCGTCGTCGGAAATGCGTGCTGATGTATGAATTATCCATGTCGTTATATGAGAACATTTATGCTGAATGACAACTTTATCACAACTCGTATTCTAGATCGTTTTAAATCGATTGGCTTTACAGTCTGTTAAAATGAATATATGGATGAATATGGGCCCCCAAAATTATCCGGCATTGCTGGCTACGCCACTGAACTAATAGAGATATAACGTCAGTTCAATGCTCGTCATCTTAAGTGTAAATTTTTTTTTCGCTTGCTGCGAGGAATAATTTAATTAACTGCATCCTAACAGCCATTTCACAATTGGACAACCAGGCCGAGTTGCCTTCTTTTTTTGGTATAAACTATGGCATTTATTGAGGATAGGAATAAACAGAAATATATATTAATATTAATATTCATAATTACTTATATTGCGGAAAGGCCGCGCCAGGTCACGCGATTACAACATGCGACATTTTTCTAAGTATCAAGTTCCAACTTTCAACTGTTGACAATCCATGATTTTGAAAATCAGCAAATATATAAAAAGAAATACTACAGCATATAATTACACCGTTATTTAATAACAACGATTCGGCTGATCATGTTTATTCGTTATTTTTATGCATTTTCTCACCCTTAGCTATATAGTATACCCCCGCAGCTATTAATTACCGATGCCTTTTGATGAAGAATTAACATTTCTACGAAATATATGTTTTCTATGAATATTAATCTATCTGCACGCTTTGGACAACCAGGCCGAGTTGCCGTAATTGTTTTAGTATAAACAATAGTATTTATTGAGAACTTGGAAACACAGTACAGAAATAAACAGAAGTATTAACATGAAATGCTAATATAACTTATATTACGCGCCACGCGATTATGACATGCGACATTCTTAGAAGGTGACAAGTTTCAAATTTCACCTGTTGGCAATCATAGAAAATAAAGAAGAATTACTACAGTATATAAATCACACCGTTATTTACCGAAATACTTTCGGGTGAAAGATAATAATTCTTGTTTGTTTATTTGTTATTAATTTTTCCGCTATTGTTTTGAATTTGACTATTACCTGTATTAGGCTATCACTAACTGCCTACTAGTAGTGTAACCAACCAAATACTTTTAAATTCACTGACAGGATACTGATATCACTAAAGCAAGTTTGTTAATATGGCCATCGGAAAAACGTTAATAATCGATATTGTTAATTTACAACCAAGACACATATATCCGATAGATATGTAAATATTCAACTGCGTTATTTTTGACGGTTTTCGACCCACGAATGGCATTCATACTCGCGGGTAAACAGAGCCCTAAAAGCTCTAAGTCATCGACGAACTGAAGTTTCTCCGTGAAGTTTAAAATCTTTACTGTTGTCAGACTACAAACTGAGGTAAGCTTTCATCTTGCGTTTTAGTTTCCAGTTTTTTGGTTACATGGTGATCTGATATTGTATATATATATAGTCGTTTAGTTTGGTCGTTTCCCGTCGAGAGTAAACCACACAAATTTTTATTTGAACATGCATGATTATACTGCAAAACCCGATGCGGAATGCTTGTCTGATCAATAGCTTTTTATTTGAAAGTATTAAAGATTTCAAATATTCCATGTAACTATTCCACTATTTCTTTTTAGAATTATTGCAAAGAACAACAACAATTCCTGCATCCAACGTAAACTCGTAAGCCTATTCTACCTATTTCGAAGGTCATACGCTTAATTTTCAGGACAAATTTAAGGCAACTAAATTAACCCGCCTTAATCGAATCAATGTTTCCAACCCCGAGTTTCCATTTTCTGATTCTTTTCATCTATATGTGTTATTTATTTCTAGGTAATTATATTCTCTGAACAAATGGATTTCCGTATGGATGTTTCCCTGTTGCTGATTATTTTTGTGGCGTTTTCTGCGGTTAACGGCCGTAAATCAACAAGTGAATATGCAGAAGGTAATTTACGGTATTAGGATGTGACGATATTTAGTCGGGGTCTTCATAATGAGTCTGTTTTTCGCCAAAGTATCGAAACATTTTCTGATAAGTTTTGAACCACCGTTTGTGAACTTGAAATGTAACGGAAAACCTAAGAAACCAGTGGTATTTAAGAACCCCAATTACATAAAAATCTCCCACATAGATAAATTTCCACTAGGCATTTTGTCCACACCCACTATATCGTTGCTGTTGGTATGCATTTTTTATGTAATATTGCTTAACAATTTTTTCGCTTCATCATGTCCTTTTCCAGAGAGAAATTAAACCTAGCAATTTGATCGTAACATGGAGAACGATAACTGAAAAAACAAAGTAAAAATCAATACATGCACTTATCCGCCGGTTCTGTGTCGGTGATGGCGGCAAATGATCCTAGTTTGATTTACCGCACCCCCACCCGCACCCGCACCCACACTAACTCTTAAATTTCTGGAGAATAAAAGCTTTCAAGATTTATTTTATTACCTCTTTCCACAATATTTTAACGCAAACCTTTAATCTTCTTTTTAGCTACAGCTTCCCACCTGGGAAATAAAAGTGGAATGGTCTTTAATTAAGCAGTTATGAAATGTAACCTGACCAATTTACTTTGATTAATGATAAAGGCGTAGACAAAAAATTCCAGTGTATAATTGCATTTATTGTATCATAATTTTAATTAAACCATGCCCTGGTTTTTAATGGAAAAAAACTGCCGAATCACTATGCTACTCGAAAATGTTCCACACCGATCGCACTATCGAACAGACACTTTCAAATATGTATTCCGGCCGTGAACATACATAATCTCGTTCAGTGAACAATTCCAATGATATTTCCACATGCATGTATATGCTTTTTTTTATATTATTTTTTACATCCACACAGAAATGATAATGTGTGATCACGCCCATAAACACTTGAGCGCATCTCATCTGCACGTCTTTATATCTATCCTATTCTCAGAGACTCAGACAAACACAAAGTTCGTACAGTGAGCATCTCCAAGCATATTTACATTTGTTTAGAGCGTAATTGAAAGTAGATGAGAACTCGATACATTTGCAAATGTTTTCCATGCTAATCAGTGAAATCTAGTTTATCAGTAAAATCGGTCACATTTTGGATGCGTCGAATGCAATTCAAACAAAATATATTATTGAGATGATAATAATTTGAATTGCATTCGCTGCGACCAAAATGCGACTTATAAACTTAGACTAACATAGTGCAAATTTGGAAATTACAAACCTATACCGCTCCCAAAAATCCTGTTGCGTGAGGCAAGGAAGCATCTAGGTGACAACTAAGGACGCGTCAGGTCACGCGATTACAATATGCGACATTTTTAATACAGCCAAGTTTAAGCTTTCAACTCTTGACAATCTATGTTTTTTAATATAAGTAAACTATTTAGGAAAAAAAATAAGAATACTACCCGTCTATTACTAGGTTTATACTAAATACTTTTAAATCTATAATGATAGTTTATTATGGCATGCAGACTCGCAGGATTCTAATATTACACAGGCAACTGTGTTAATATGGTGGCCATCGGAAAAAACGTTACTGATTGATATTGTTAATTGACAGCCGAGACACTCGTATCCGACAGATCGGTGATGTGAATATTCATATGAAAACAGGTAAATCCCTTTCAGAAGTGTTAAACTGCGTTATTTTTGACATTTGTAGAAAGGAATTTTGGAATCTTTACCGTTGTCAGACTATACAAACTGAGGTAAACTTCATCTTGCGTTTGAATAAGTTAGGACATTTATTCGAATAGTTTCCAGTTTCTTAGCTACTTGGTGATCTGATAGTGATATAGTCATCTTAAGATTAAATTTTCTCGTTGAGAGTAAATCACACAATTTTTTATTTCGAATTGTATGAAAAACGGCTCCAAAATGCTTGTCAGTCAGTTGCACTATAGACAATCCAGAAAACGAAGTTTTTGAAATACTTTCTAATTTAGTGCAAGACCAACCAAGGGCGGTCGCATATTGGCCTTGAAATATTCAATTTCAATTGACCGTTGTTCAACTAGACATGCCGGACCTCGATTGTTTGATGAGACCGCATTAATTAAGAACGCCAACCTGATTAGCGCCAACCTGATTAGTTACGAACTTATTCACGTCTTCTGGATTGTCTATGGTTGTACGAAGGCTAGATAGCGCTATCCACAGATAGTGATTTTTTCTGGTTATACCAAACAGCGAGAAATGTTAGAGTGCATGATCGAAATAATCAATATCCGCGGTGGACAGCGCTATCCAGCTTTCATGCAACCGACGCCGCGGATCAATATATAGCTTTTTCTTTCAAAGTAGATTTCAACTATTCAATGTACTGTAACTATTCCACTACTTCAATTTGAAGTTATTGCAAAGAACTGCAACAGTTCCTGCATTCAATTTAAACCGTATCCCACCTATTTCGCAGGTTATAACTAATTTATATATATATACGCTTTATGATACAAATTTAAGACAACACGTTTTATTAATTTCATATATGTTTCAAACCATAAGTTTCCATGAAGATGCCTTTTCATTCATGGTAAACGCACTGACGGGCTCACCTAATCTTGACCGTCATTATTTACTCCCAATTAACAACAATATGACCTTCGACATGTCGTAAATTCTCTTGCAAATGTAGGCCTATTTAGCATTTTATAAGTTACGCGTTAATCCGCACAGGCGAAAATTCGCGAACAAGTCATTCAAATTTTAACAATAGGTGATTTCACTAGTTTTGGGGTTTTTTTGGACACCCTGAATATATAAAATTGGGAGTAAATAATGACGGCAAGATTAGGTGAGCCGGTTAGTGCGTTTACCATGAATGAAAAGGCATCTTTTTGGAAACTTACAGTTTGAAACATATATGAAATTAATAAAACGTGGTGTCTTAAATTTGTACCAAAAATCGGCTTACATTTGCTAGAGAATTTAGGACATGTCGAAGGTCATATGGTGCTTAAGTTGTAAATTTAAATATTGTTATCTACACGGAACAAACAGAACTCTCACGGCGTAAACAAAAGGCTCACGGTTATCCATATTCTTAAGCGAAAGAAAGTGTAGTGGTAATCATTTGTGCATGGGTATGCAAACAAATTTTACTGCCGCATGCATAAAAATGCCTACGTCAAACGTTCATTTATATTTTACACTTGGTCCCAACAGGGTGCTTAGGCATTCAAACTCTAGCTATTACATTGTTATGAGTGATGTGATGTTGCCTGAACAAGCCGAGCAACATAAAGCTCCCTCTTCAATCAATTTCTGTTGCGATTCAGCCGATGCCTGAATTTCAACCCGAAGCTCATGCATGTCGGTGCAAGCATAGCAACAAGATGGGACAAATGGCTCTCAGACTTGTATATCCTGCAGTTCGGGAATCACAGACCCAAAGCGGAAACGAGCACTACTTCTGTGTAGACTGCGAGAAATTTTTCGATCTTCGTCAGACATTGGCAACGAAGATGCATATGACACTGCCAAACAACGGCTAAAAGAGTATTTTCACTCTCAAAAAAACCGGCGGTATGACCGTATGAAGCCTATCGTTTTCGGCAAACTGTGCAACAGCCAAATGAGACTTTGGATGCGTGCAATAAGCGACTACGCCGACGAGCTGAGACATGCGAACTCAATGACATAGAATTTGAAATTGAACATTATTATCGGCGGGACATCTTCTAAACTCCGAAAGCGAGCGCTACGAGATCCTCAAGTAAAGATATTGAATCGAAAGACGTAAAGTTTACGTCGTCGTAAGGGAAGCAGAAACGAATAGAATTGCTGCAGAAAAGGGGCGAAAGTCCAAGCAACAAACATGTCCGAACTGTTGACGTAATTACCCCCCCCCGAAGGTCGTTGCCCAGGAACTGGAAAGTCATGCAATAAATCTGGAAAAACCAACCCTTTTGCAAAGGTATGTCGAAGTAGTAAAACGAAACCCGGCTGTACGTAAGCTAAGAAAACCCAAACACGGATCAATAAAACCAGTTCAACAGGAAAAATATCATCACTCAGAATCAGATTCGGATGAGTCATACCTGTATGTAGTAAAAAACGAGGTGAAGAATACAAATCCAAACAATGCCAATGTTAAAGTAACAGTAAATGGAGTATCGCTTAAAACCATGGTATATATACTGGGGCTAGTAAAAATGTAATTGACGAACAGACATTTTCCTACTGAACCTGAAAAACGTTACTCACAAACTAAGAAAGAGGCTCGATCTGGCCATAGTTTGGTCAGTGGAACATTACCATTTGCATCGTATATGCATGGTCGTAAATTTACCCTGATTACCGAACAAAAGCCCCTGGAGAATGGTTTTGGTTTTTATTTGGACACCCTGTAGCTTTGACCTGGTAGAGAAATGTTTTCATAAAAGTTCAAAGCTGGTTTCTGGATCAGGGTACTAAACACGGTATAATTCGCTTATGGAAATCAAACTTGGAGCATTACATCGCTGTTGTTTTAACAATTATTTAATGGTTTCCTGTGTTTGGATGGCCTGGTCCAAACACTTAGGAGTGCTTTCTTATTTCTTAAAGCCCCGTGCAGACGGGCAAGTTTTCCCTGTCAAGTTTTCCTTGCCAAGTTTTATTTGCCAGTCGCGTGACAAGTTGCATGACAAGTTTTCCTTGACAAGGAGCCTTGTTCAAATGCTAGACATGCCAGCTTTTCAAGTAGGAAACTGCGCAAAAATGTCTATGAGCCAATTGAGCGGTTTTTGGAAGTTTTATCATTTCTGTTTGTTTTTAGATTCGATCGTATACTCATTTTAACATATTGTTGTGGTGAACAAGTCAAGAAAACTTGTCAAGGAAAACTTGCCCGTCTGTAAGGGGCTTAATTCTCACAAAATTCTTGCGTGTTCGGATCAGGGCGTCAGTAAGTCGGTCAGGCCGTTTTCATATGACATAATTTTCGTTACTTAATTCAAGCTGGGCGTTTGTTTACATTGTAAAATGTTTATATCCTTTACAGAGAAAGCTCATACTGTAGCTTTCGCTGTTTATTTTTTCAAACTTTGTTATTAATTTTGTTCATGCATCATATAGTGCTCACATTGACACTTGCTCAGTTAAATATATGTCCTATAATATAATCCTCAAAGAATTTTTTTTTATCCACATGAAACCGATTTACCTCCGAAAAATAATAATGTTTGGATTCAAAAACAATGCATGTATATACTTACAATTCAACGCCTTTTCCAAGTTCGCTATAAGTTATGCCCTAGCTGCATGCTTATATAAAAATTATAAACTATATATTATATACAGATTATAAAGTCAGCTGTA